TTGCAGATTGTCCATTAGATTTGACTTCATCAAATTTCACTCTAGTAGCTTCAGTGTGCTCCAACATAACTGATAGAGGCAAATGTTGCCGTTACATGAACGCTTTCATTGCGGTATCCGTGGCTCGTTACGCTAATTTGTCAACTAATCTTGGAGTCACGTCCGATTTATCTGAAGCATGTATTGGTTCAATCTCTAAAGCCATGGAACTCTACGGAGTTTCGAAGACCGCAACTAGTTTCTGCGGTTTAGGAACCAAGATTCTTGTTAAGTATAGCTGCGAAGGTCGAACCACTGTAACACAAATGCATCAGTCTCCAAAGTTTGGCCATGTTTCAAGAAATTGCAGGCTTCCACTTTCGCCGGCAAACCGATGCAGGAAATGTTTAAATTCTGGTATCACTTACCTTCGTAATCTCGTAGGTGTAGAGAACAATAACATTACAATGAGTACTTGCCGTGACGCGACTTACGCTGCATTAGCAAGCCGAATTGACGATGCATCGGCTCTTGAACTACTTGGTTGTTTCTTTCAAGTGACTGAGCTTAGCATACCTTCAGGTAGACACCAATTTTTCGTAGCATTACATCGGTTTTTTGGACAATCCTTTTGGTCTTTTGTCTGATTTCATTTGCGTATCGGACAGATTCATTTCCACCAGTAGCAAGTCCAGGACCTTCTCCAAGCATGGATGGTGCTATTAGCCCAAACAACAGTGACTATCTACTGACTCCAAGTCAAAGTAACAATCCATATCACTTAACAATGGTTCCAACCATTGGGATTGTTGTTACAGCTGTTGCTCTTACAATGCTCGTAGTCCTGGTGATTCTTATCCGTAGAAAAAACCGGGAACTCGACGAATCCGAGAGTTTGGATAGAAATTCAACAAAAACAATTCCTTCTCCTATGCCTGTATTCAAGATTCATGAAGGTGAGTGAATACTTTGTTTGATTATATATCATATCAAGAAAGACTTATCAAAATCTTCTTCTCTTTGCAGATGATTCTTCACCTTTCCAAAAATTCAGCTACAAGGAAATTGGAAATGCAACGAATGATTTCAACTCGGTGATCGGTCACGGAGGTTTCGGGACTGTTTACAAAGCCGAGTTCAGCGATGGATTAGTTGCAGCTGTGAAAAGAATGAACAAAGTCTCTGAACAATCTAAACATGATTTCTGCAGAGAGATAGAGCTTTTAGCTAAGCTACATCATCGTAACCTCGTTGCTTTAAAAGGCTTTTGCATCGAAAAGAAAGAAAGGTGAAGAAACATGCATTGTTATTCCCGCCTTCTGCGGTCATCTAAAACCGTAAAAATAGTTAAAAGTATTCTCATCTGTTTTGTTTTTCAATCTTACAGGTTCTTGATCTATGACTATATGGAAAATGGCAGCTTAAGAAACCACTTACATTGTATGTATATGCTTCTTCTACCTTAAGCTTAAGAATCCAGAGTGTTGAGTAAACTTTTCTTTTTCCATTGCAGCCATTGGAAAGGCTCCACTTAGTTGGGGAACAAGAATGCAAATCGCGATCGATGTGGCGAATGCTTTGGTAAATATTCCAAAGTCTTTCATATACATTTTACTGTAAACTGATTGATTATATATATAATCTTTTACAGTTTTTGGTTCTTGGCTGCACAATGTTATCTCCTCCAGGAATATCTTCATTTCTATTGTGATCCACCTCTCTGCCATAGAGATATTAAATCAAGCAACATATTACTCGATGAGAATTTTGTCGCCAAAGTATGTATCCATCGTACCTCAAACTACTTACAGAACTTTTGTTTCGACTTTGGCTAACTATGGATGTTTCTTGGCGCAGCTTTCGGATTTTGGCCTTGCACATACGTTTAGAGATGGTTCTGTTTCCTTTGAGCCTGTTAATACCAATATTCGTGGAACTCCAGGTCAAGAGAGAAAACAGTTTAACTCCTTTTGATAGAAACTTGTTTGTAAAATCTGTAAGTTTTTTTCCAGGTTATGTTGATCCGGAGTATGTAATAACAGAAGAGCTGACGGAGAAGAGTGATGTTTACAGCTTCGGAGTTGTGTTGCTAGAGATCATTACCGGGAGAACAGCGGTCGATGAAGGTAGGAACCTCGTTGAAATGTCTCAGCGGTTATTGGCGAATAAAGCAAGACACCGTGATTTGGTAGACTCGAAAATTAAAGACTCCATTGGTGATGTTGAAGGAAATCAGCTTGAAGCTGTTGTGGCGGTTGTGAGAATGTGTACTGAGAAAGAAGGCCGGTCTAGGCCGACGATCAAGCAAGTCTTGAGGTTGTTATGTGAAAGCTGTGATCCGTTGCATGGCGGTTTTGCTAAAGCGGTTGAGGAAGAGATAATAGGACGCGATAGTAGGATGAGAACTGATTCAAGATTCCAAAGAGGCAATAGCCGAGTCTTCGGTCCATCGTCTAGTACAACTTCCAGGTCACCTTACAGCCAGAGTTTACCTCACTCTCCAATAAATGGACTCTCTTTCTAAGTTAAGTCATTTATTGTTCCTCTATAGCTC